CCCGAGGGGCCGGGGCCTGCCGCGTCCAGCCGCACACCCCACGTCCCCGCCACCGTCTTCGGGCACGGAACCCCGGCGCGCCCAGCGTGATGACGACTAGTTTTATTGGTAAGGGTGACGCCTCAGCCTCTGCCACACTCTTTCCCAGTGTGGTCCGTAACGACAGCACACAGATGGCGCTGGGGCAGCGGAGAGCGGCGCCCCAATCCACGGGCTCTTCCCGGGCCGGAGAGGACCCATGGTGTGGGCCTGCGGTTCTGGCTCCAAATTGGGGTTCTCTGATCTAGCGCAGGGGTCCACATCAGAGGTTGAGTGCACTGTGCTAAAAACAGGCAAAGCAGGGTGCTGAGGGACTCCTCGAGGGCCCTGCCAGCCCCCCGGGGTGCCGCCCACCGCTGAGAGAAGTGCCCCCCAGGACACCCCCTCTACTGTGTCAGACACGTCGCGTAAACTGCAAGGGCTGGGGCGTGCACCTGGGTCTCTCCAGCTCGGCTGAAGTCAACTCTCCAACGCTGCTTCCGTGTGCATGTCGTTTTAGACTGACACAAAGGCTGCGGTTATTTTTAGGGGCGGCAGAGTAGAAACACGGCAGCCGCTTTCCAAATCTGTGCCTTCCTCAAATCTGTGCTTCACACATTTTACAACTTCCTAATAACCTTCCCGCTCCATTCATAGATACGTCACACCGCGCCGCGCACGAAAAGACACTCAGATATGCGAACGCAGCACGGGCGCCCCTCCCAGAGGCCGTCTGGATGGAAATGGGGGGCACGGAAGGGGCGAGTGACGGCGGCCGGCTCGGCCCGGCCTCGCCTCTGCGGCGGGAGGCAGCGCGCGGGGCCACGATAAGCCCACTGGAAAGCAAACTGTCTCACAGGCTCCTGGCCGGAAGCTGCAGACAGGGACAGCAGGCGGCCGGCTGGGCTAGAGGGCGCCTGGAGCGGTGGTTCTCCGCTCCGCTTCTGGGTAGCTCAGCTGGGCACAGGGGGCCAGGAGAGTCAGGACTGGGGTTTTCTTTTTAAATAAACTTCCAGTGCCGGGCTAGTGTCAAATTTACAGTCTGTAGGAACCAGACACCCCGTCCCGCCCCCACACCCCAGAGGCTGCATCACATCGCCGAAGCCGGTGCCGGTTACTTGTCAGTACCCACACTCCACACTTCCTTGGGAGTTTGCCCGTTTCCCCACTGACACGGGGTTCAGGACCCGATCCAGGGCCGCACGCTGCCGGAGTGGACGGGTTCAGGACACGGGACTCGTGCGTGGTCTCCCGAACAGCGTGGCTTCCTCTCGCCTCGCCCCCGCACCCCCCAGGACCCACCCTCTTCACCACGAAGGTCTAGGGAAGCCGACGACACAGCCAGGAGCGCTAGTCTGCTGTGCTCCGGCGGGAAAGCCCGGCCTCCCGGCTCCACGGGCCCTGGACTGCTCTGGGGGACGAGTGTTAGGATGAGACTAGCCGGCCGGGGTGACGGGGTGAGGCCACGAGCCCGGACCCCAGTCAAGGAGCCCCGTGCCCTCTAAGC